TTACTGTTTTTATATATATATTTTTTTTTACTGTTTTTAAAGGATGCACTTTAAAAAAAGAATAAATTGTCCAGAGAGCTGTTCAAAATGAAATTTCTTTTTGTTTTACACTTGTGAAAACAAATTGACAAATCTAAGTCTAAGAAGCCTTGTGCTTCCCCTTTCCTCCTTTAGAACACTAACTAATCCATTGTTTGTATATTTCATTTACACACTGAAGTAAGTCTGTTTGCACAACAATTTTAAAAAGACACAGTGCTTTTTGTGATTGAAATCAAGAAACCAGTATCCTAACAGCAAAATAGATCAATATTGCTCAGATTAGGTTGGCAAAATGGGTTTTCTCCCTTGTTTATACAGTAGATCCTGCTTTATAAGTTAAATACAGAAAAATCAGCAGCAAAATAATTGTAAAGAAAGGAGACAATTGCACAGTAACATAAACTCTGTGTGGGCTCCGTTTTTACCTTTGCCAAAACTCTTATTGTCTGTTTAACAATGTCAGCTGGAGACACACACTAAAGAACAGTTCAGCATATCGTTCAGCTCTTTACTCATTTCTTCGAGCAGGGGTGGAGCTAGGTGGGGGGCCAGGGGTGGCAATGGCCACCCTTAGCCAATCATTGGCCACCGCTACCATTTTTTCCCTCCAGTACAGATGGTGACAGCAGTAAAACTCTCAAGTGGAATATTCAAAACATTAACATTTTTCATATATTAACAATTACTTGTCAACAAAAACATTGTGGTTTAATTATGCACATCAATATACTTACACTAAAGATTATAAGTACAGAATTTTGTGTTATACAGTATGGGTTGAAGAGAAAATTATTTTTCTCTGCAAGTCATCTAGGGGTCGTCAGTGAAATCATCGATAAATAACTATAAAAGAAACTTAATTAAATAATCAATTTATGTAGATATTAGTACTTGTAAATTATTAATTTTATGCAGAATTGATTATTGATAAAAGTAGGTAAATAATGACAATGGAAAAGATGTTCGCCCCAGAATTCAAACCTGAAAGAATTTTATTCACTATACCTTTTATCTAGGAAGCACACATTTTTAAATATAGGCATTTATTTGTTAACAAAGGCTGTAAGGAAAGTACTGTATGGTTTATCTTTATTTAGAAAAGATGGATGTTATGCTTGTTAATTTTCCTGTTGGAGCCGTGTAGATTGACCCTGAGGTTCTGGCTCCCATCCACTTTCAGCCACCCCTCAGTATATATTGGTTTATACATGGCCATCCTTATAAAAATGTTCTCGTTATGCCTCTGCCCTCTGATTCTTTTTCCTTTCTGCAATGCATCCAAATACTGTTGCAGATTGTTGCTTTTGCTTGATACATCATCTGCTCCGGCGTCTGTTGTTACTAGCAACTGTTTGATCACCACTAACCAGAAAACCCGCTGAGTAATTTCAACATCATGTTGATTTTTTTGATGATACTCATACGATTCAATTTATTCTCACAATACTACTGATGACAGATTTGTTAGACTGCTAAGTCTGAGTTGCACCTGATGCCTCGTTTCAACACTAGCAGTAAACAATTTTGTTTGACTTCATTCACCAAAGAGAAAAGCACACTGAGGTGCTGTAGAAGAATTTCAATAAGGCCCATGTCTGACTTATGATAGGGTTCACATGCAGTCTTAAAAACAGTGTGAACAGTTACTGTAACAGGAAAGCTGCAGCTGTCATACTCTGATGTTAAAACCTATTTGCACATTTTACTTTCTGTAATTATAGCTGTCTCTTTCATGCTCACTTCTTATTCATTTCCAACTGTGAGTGCATGTGTGAGAATTCTTGTTTAGATATATTTCATGCAAACTACTGACATTTCTACACTTACACATAGAGAGTCAGACTTCCAAATCCAAACAACTGTATATGCATATAGGCTACATGTGCAATCCTATTTTGCGTAGAGCATTTACACCCTTAAACACAACTGATTGCACCTTTTTGAGAAGATTACCTTACTTAATTTCTATTAGCAGCTACTGGCATCTATCTTTGGGAACCCTTTTGCAACTCAATACATATTTTGGTTGTTTTGAACTACTGAATATCAATTAAGAGTCACTTTATCTACATGGACATCAAGAAGATAAAACTTGACCCATGATATGACAAATCAGGATATCCCTAAATATACCTTGGCTGGATAGTAAATATGGATTTTATTTGCTTTTCATTGGAACATTGGGTAAGTAGGATTCATGCACCAACTTTATTTGTTTGTGAAAATGTCATGTTCTTGGCGCTGATGGTTCATTTTTTTTCCTTTGCTTGTGCTCACCTGTCTAATTGGTCCAGCAGCTGATTAATGCCAATTATTTCCACCTGGTTCCTCTGCCATTTATGTTTTTTGCTTGCCTACCATCAGCGCCAGGTTATTCAAGCAGTTTAGTGAGATTAACTCTAGCGTTCTGAATCTTGTTCTGTTTTCCTGATTGTGACCAGTTTCTTCCATGTGGATCCCAAGTTTTGCTTAGCCCCAGTCTGCTCAGTTAGTTTGATCTGTTCTGGACTGATTCTGGGATTTTGCTGCCTTTTGAACTTGGACCTGTCTTCTGACTCCGGCTTTAGATTTCCCCTTAAGGACACCGTTGCAGCTAGGCGTAGGTTGGCGCCTAATCTGCTCTCTAACTCTGGGGGTGGCGCCCGCCGCAAACTGGGGATTAACATCCTGTTTGGATTCTACTTTTTGCTCTCAGATCGGACTGAACTACTTTGAATCAGGTCAGGGACTTTTGCTCCCAGTCGTGATCAGCCCGACATCCAGTCATTGACCTGTATTTCCTGTCTCTGCAGAGATTCGCCCGACAGCTGACCAGCAGCCCCGCATTCCTGTTTTTTTTAAATAAAGGCTTTGAACTTTCCTGCTGCCTGTCTCGCCTCAAATTCTGGGTCCAACATTCTGAGTTCATAACAGAAAATTGTAGTATTTGTGTTTAATCAGAATGGTGTAGACAATTATCCAAAGAGAGATGTTCATTTTTCTTTGGTTTGTTAACTGTTTGTGTGGACCTAAGCTTACAAGGCTGTGCTTTTCCTAATTTAAAGCTAAAAGAGGTACAATTTGCTATAATTAGGTAGTTATTCTTTAAAAACATCTGTGTTTGCATTTGTTAAAAAGCCTGCATAGAAAAGGTGTTCATAGCTATTAGAGGTTATAATTTTAAAGTAGATGCAGAACACATCATTTCCTTGAGTTTATTTTTAATCATGGTAGATCAAGGATAGACACAGTAATAAACTATATTTTAGTACTAGGCCTATTAACCTTTCTGGGTATTTAATTGGACAATCACCCTGTGGCATAGCTAAGGGTATTTAAGTTGATTCAGCGGTCGCTCTCGTTTGTGTTTTGCTGGAGCCGGTGACAATCATATTGCAAAAACATAACAGATACTATTCCTGGCAGTTTAGGAGTGGGGTAAGACCTGATGAAAGCAAGGCTTAACAGCAGAACAAAAGATGAAGCGCTCTTACATTTGATTGATTGCTGTTAATTTTTGCTTTGACATTTAATCAACATTGGTGGATAACATTCCTCCAAAAAACCTGAGTGGTTGTGAAAACTTCCTTTTGACCTCAAGCACTTATATTGTGACAAAATCCTACAAACTCGTAAGTGGACTTCTTAACAATTATCTGAAGATATAACTTAAACATTGGCTTTAGCACCTTTTTGTTTAATCTTTTTTACGGTTTACCAGCCTTCTGTGAATAAGCCTGGATACAGCACCTGGAATATGGAAATCTAAAACTGCTCAAAAGAATAACTGAGATATTAAGAAGATTTTAGGAAAAACCTAAAGTCACATCTTTTGACAACAACCATATATTGTCATGTGATTTTAGCGCTGATGACTGGCCTGATTACTAATTTCATTCACCTACCTTGCTCCACCCAGTTTCTCATTACCGTTTATCTGATCCACTTGCTTTAGCCTCTATTTCACCAGTCTTCAACCGGAGTATCAGTGCCAGATTATTCAAGTCTTTGTGATTCTCGGTGTACCTGTGCATTTCTCATCACCCATTCTGCCTCTGGACCTCTGAGCCTGTCTGTCCCCTTTCTGATCTGTTTACCTGACCAGTCCTCGGACTCCAGCTGGATTCTGTCTGTCTGTGTTTCTTGAACCTGGAACAGATTTCTGACACCCTCCTCGATTTCCCTTTGGTACCTCCCCCTTTCAATCCTCTGGGCACAAACTGAACTTTAAGGCCAGGTTACTGACTCACATGTTCATTATCATCCTCCGCCAGATAGACATTGCCACTAACCTGTGTTCTCCCCCTGTAGAGGTTTCTGCCTTAGACGCCGATGCCGTTCAACAGTTCTGTTTTAAATAAACATTTTGTGAAATCTAACTATCTCTCCGCCTTGGAAACTAGGTCATCTTGTTCTGAGCCTGACATATATTAATTGTCAATAGTGCACTGTTATGCAGGAAACCATAAAACAACCTTGTTTTGAAAAAAATCTCACTTCCTGACTGGATTACATAAAAAGGCAGAATAAATTCAGTCACAATCTCCTGCAAAAAGTACTGTTTACTACCCTAAGTAGTCCCCTGGGACTCTCCTGCAAACACATTTTTCTCTTTTCACCTGTTAAAAAACATCTGAAATTATAAACACAGTTTATCTCTAAAAGAGGCCAGTTTTACTTTTCCAGAAATAAGCTGCTGATAAATGAGCTCTCAGTAAAACATCATAGACGACCCCTGAGGAAAGAGATATTTCAGCTTGTTTGCAACAACATGATGAAACTTATGAGGTTAACTGTAAAGTAATTACCAGTTTAATAAATGATAATGATTTTTTTTTTTTTTACTTCAGGTTCTCTGTAGAAACAAATCCATCACCCCAAATACTTTACTAATTAATTTATTGAGAAGATAGTGTGGTGATTTAAAACTTCAGAGCAGTAAAATAAACCATACAAAGATTGTTTTTTGAAAGGTTTTATTTCATATAATACTGACACATGTACTCAATAGCGGTTAACAGGCGTTTTTAAAAACACAGATATTAAAATCATTAGAGCATCAATTTATTTCTAGCCCCATTAATTTCATTCATTCCATTCTTACTTTTTTGTTTTTTATATGTTTATATGTTTTAATATACCATAACATTTAGTTTGTATTAGTCTAACTTTGCCTCTGGAAGGATTTTTATTCTTTGTAAAAAATAAAAGGCAGATAAAAGACAAACTCTGTATTTAAAAAAAAAATGGCATGTGGTAAGCCACAACCTGCTCATGGTGAAATGTTCTTAAAGTGTAGAAAAAAAATGAAAAAAACAAAAGAGATTGAAAATCTTTTTTTGACAGCTTTAAGCAGGTTTTATGTGGCACACGTAAATTTGAATATGTCACCATTACTACATGAGGCAAGTATTATGGATTAACAGCCTTTTTTGTGACGCTTTCAGGGCTCAAAAGGATTCCAACAACGTATACAGTATGGACTAAAACACATCCAGAAAATTCAGATAAAGAATAGGAGCTTTTGGAAATAATTTGTTTGACCATTATCTAACTATATTTAAATCATAGATTTTTATCACTTTTTTTGTTGCATTAAAGGATTGTGGGTAACATAGTCCTTTGTTGAAAAGACTTCCGGAAAGTCAGCTATGTTTAACATGATGACAAGCAGTAATAGAGTCCTGTTTCTCCAGCCATCAGTTCCCGGATATCCTTGGAAAAATTAAACAATTGCTGGTTACCCATAGAAATCCATATGAGTGCACTTCCTTAAAAGTTGACAAGTCCAATGTTCTGTGTTAATAACTTTGCCACCATCCTGCACTTCTTGTATTGGAATAACAGGACTATCGGGTCACCTGGAGCAGGGAAAAAGGAAAAGAAAAGAACCATCAGCATTCCCATTAAATCACTCATACAATATAAACATATGGAAATAACTTATAGATAATATGCACCTATAAAGATGTTCTACAAGTTCAAAGTCCGGAGTGGAAAATCCTTTAACATCCTACTACCAGTTTCGGAGATTGGTAGTATATATACCATTAATTTTTTCATTAATTGTTTTAAACAGAAATTATTTTAACCAACAGAATTCACTCAACATTTTTGCTTTAGACTACAAAAAGAAAATGTAATTACTTTAAACTAAGTAATTTATTCTCCTTACCTTTTTATTTAATCAAAATATAACTCAGATTTTTACCAGTCATTATCTTAAACATATCTGTGTACAACAGAGGTGAGTCGGGTTAGTGTTTTTGTCCTTTTCACACTGCTCATGACAGTCAGAGCGACTGAGACAGTCACCTTTTTTGCTAATTATCAAGCAAAACTTCAGGTCAAGATGTACTTGGTGACACCTAATTCATAACTTTAAATAAGCTACATGGTTACAGTAGTGAAAAGGTATTGTTGGTTCAGCACTGATACTATAGCTTTAGAGTGCCAGTGTCTCCTGGCAAGAATCTAAACAAGACACAGCTTGAGCTGTGGCAGCCAGCCCACGGTACCTCATTTTCATCACCTGGCTGCCTGCCACATCATTACGTCTATTTGTTGAGTTAGCTGCCCTAATCACTACAGCTCCTTATCTCATCTGACCATCTGTCCATTTTCTTGACTCATACTTTAATTTTGGTCAATTTCAAGCAATTTGTTGGCAAACAAACACAGGCCTCTATGCTGGAGCGTGAAATAGACCAAACTCTCTAGGAATCTGAGAACTGCATTTCTTTCTTTCTGTTGGAGTTGCCCGGGGGCTCCCCCCTTCAGTCTTAACGCATGTTATTCCCTCTTTCCTAATTCTTGAGGGAGTCTCTCTTTTGTTCAGTCATCTAACGATGAGGTAACTAACAAAGTACAAGGACCAGCCTTTGCTGAGAGAGTTTAGAGTCTGGTTTCCTATGAGATGACAGCTGAAGGCATTCTTCAGCTACATGGCTTCAGGCCACCTTTCCTGGGTCCATTCCCATTTCCTCTGGGCATCCATTCCACACCTGATCAAAGAGACTGCTGGAGTTTGTTGTCAAGCAACTTCACTGCTAATGTACAGTGAAACATCTCTCTGCCTGCTATTATTTACCATGCAAAGTCAAAATCCCTCTAGCTGGTTTTTCATTACATAAAAAAAAAATGCATGTTCATGTCAGTTTGTGAGGAAAGTAATAAAAGAGTGTTCAGGCACCTGTTGCTTACTCTCTAAAGCACAAAGGGGGTGCCTAATATTATTATTTTTTTATCAGTACCTTTTCTCTTGCCTGTATTTTAAGGGCTAACTTACATCTGAAACTGTTATATTTGGCACACTTCTCAGGACTTATTAAAGCATTTTTTTTTTGCAGCTTACTGTGGAACACAGAATGACTTTTTCATGTTAGTAATTACTTTCATCTACATTGACAGAAGAGTTTATGAGAAGAAATTTGTTTTATTTACCCTGTCAATGTTTGTATTATTCCTTACACACGTTTTTGCATGAGTTGCAACACATTGCTTTTCATGACACAAAATACATCTATCTATCTATCTGTCTGTCTGTCTATCTATCTATCTATCTATCTATCTATCTATCTATCTATCTATCTATCTATCTATCTATCTATCTATCTAT